GTGGCTGATCATCTCAGGCTCGATTTCCACCTGGCTGCAGACGCCCACCTTCTCAGGCAGGGTGATCAAGTCCCGAAGGTGTGTCTTCACCAAGTCTGGCTTCTCCATGGGCGGTGCTGCATTCTGGCCTTGCGGAGCCACATCAGCGTGCCCTAGTAGGACACACTGTGACGAGGTGCATAAGGTTGCAAAAGGTTACTACAGCCCTTGCTCCGCCTCCTCCATCCTGCCAGCTCTTTGGAAAAGTTGCCATTTGACCTTTGACTTTATTTATTACCATTCAGAAAGTTGACTTTTATATAGATGGATTTATCAGGGTTTTTTTTTTTTATGGCTCTGGCATGTGTTATGGTTACAAAAGGGGGTTTCCCTTGGGCTGGAACAAAATTTTAACTGGCCCATGTTTCCCGCTAGGATTTTTTTTTTTTTTTTTTTGGTACCGGAGATCGAACTCAGGTCCTTGCGCTTGCAAGGCAGGCGGCGGAACCACTGAGCTAAATCTCCAGCCCCCCACTAGGATTTTTATAATTCGGTTTTTGCGGGGCTGGCGATGGAACCCAGGGCCTCATGCATGCATACTTAGTACACACCTGCCACTGAACTGAACCCCAGCCAAATGGTTTTATTCTTTATATTGAAATCATTTGGGTTTACTTTTGGTGTAATGGGCTAGGTAGAGATTAAACTGACTCCCCTTTTTCTAGCTAGGAAAGTAGACTCTTGGGTCTCCTACGTGTCTAGAGTTTAATTCAACATGGCATTATTTGTCCAGTTCTGCTTGGTTCCAATTTAATTGGGAAATTTGGCCCTAATTAATGTGTTTGTATCCAGGGCCGTTAGAAATTTGGGGACTCAAAACAAGAGACATAGGGCTGGGAGTGCAGGTCAGTGGTAGTGATTGAAGAAAAGAAGATATAGTAAGGAGACAAAGCTCAAGTCATAGGGAAAATTACAGACGAAAGACGTACACAGTTTAAAGCTGTGGGTGGTTGTGCACACCTGCAATCCTAGCACCGTGGGAGGCTGAGGCAGGAAGATACTGAGTTCCATCCCAGCCTGGGCAACTTAAGTGACTTAGCAAGACCCTGTCTTAAAATTAAAAAAAAGGGTTGGGGATATAGCTCAGTGTAAAGGCCCTGGGTTCAAGGAAATGCCCTGATTCAACCCTCAGCACCAGAAAAACGCAATTCTTCAAAATTGTCATCACAGGTGGGCATAATGGTGCATGCTTATAATACCTGCATTTAGGAGGCTGAGGCAGGAGGACTGCCATGAGTTTAAGGCCAGCTTGGGCTACACATCAAGACTCTCTCAGAAGAAAACAAATAGTTTCCAGAGAGAGAGAGAGAGCACAGAGCCTGGAGCCCTATGTGTTGGAGCTTCTCAGTGTACAGGGGAGTCTTGTGTGACTCCCTGATCTCATGGTCCTCAGCAACACACAGTGCTCTCACGGGGGATCTGGCCTCACCAAAGATCTTCCAGGTGGGGCTGGCTGCCTTTCACAGGTATGAAAATCTCCCAGGCAGAGGAGCAGCTGGGGGACCTGGCCCAGGGTGGAAAGGCAAATCTGATAAAGAGATTTGAGATTAAGGCCAGCCTGGGCTATGTAGTGAGACCTTGTCTCAAAAAAACCCAAAACTGAAAACAAAACCATCATCATAACTGTCAGAACAAAATTACTAAAAATAGGAATAAATATTTGCTGCAAATATAGATAATACAGAAGTTAACTCTGTTATCACAGAAAGTAACTCACATATTGATAAGGGAAACACCAGGGCCCCGGGTAAAGGTCAGGGAGAGATGACAGAAAACAGGAAACACCACGTGGGAAATTCTCGACATGGTCAGTCCAACAGGCACAGGTAGGACAGTGATAAGGCGCTTTTCTTTTTCTAAAGACCAACGGGGAACCTGCGTCATTTGGTGCGGGAGACAGTACTGGAGCCGGCGTCGGCCACGCTGTGGTGGCAGTGACGTTAGTACCGTTGTGGCGCAGTGCAGTGTTCTGTCTCTGATCCACCTCCAGGAATCGCCTGAAGCAGGGGAAGCCGCCAGACAGGGCTGGGGAGAGCAGCGCGAGTCATAGACGCCAGGTTCTCTTCGGCTCTTATCTCATTTAATTCCCTCATAACTCAGCGAGCGCAGATAAGGAGCCAAAACCCTGTGAACCCAGGCCCCTGTCAAGGCCAGCCTGCTTGTAAAGGAGAGCTGGCTTTGATCCTAGTGTGTTCCACTGCCACCGGGCTGTCCCCTCCCCGCGGCTGCCACAGAGCACACTCGGGCTGCGGCTGCGGGGCTCCAGCACCCTCGCTAAGCTCTGAGCGGGGAAGAGGGGGTCGTCATAGCCGGAAGGAACCACAGGGAGGACAATACAGAACAGAGTAAGCACAGTGCACACGGCATTTCCCTTCTGCCTTGAGACTTTAAGGCAAAGCTAATCTGTGTTTTGGATTTGCATTTTTAATATATTGCTGTTTTCTTCCCCTTTATTGTCCTCCTCCTCCACATTGAACCCAGGGCCATCGCACTGAGCACTCCAGTTTAAAAAATTTTTTTTGAGACAGTCTCCTTAAGTTGCCCAGCTTGGGCTCAAGCTTGCAATCCTCCTTCCTCAGCCTCCTAGAATGCAGGGATGACAGGTGTGCCACTATGCCACCCTGAGTATATTGGTATTTTTGTTTTCTTTTTTTGAGACAGGCTCTCCTTATATGGTTTAGGCTGGACTTGAACTCACTATGTATTACAGGCTGGCCTCAAACTCATGGCAATCCCCCTGCCTCAGCCTCTTGAGTGCTGAGATTATAGGCATGTGCCACCACGCCTGGCAATATTGGTATTTTCTTAATGAAGATAAGCTACTTACTATAGTTGAGTACCTATTTATTTTTTAAAAAGTTTTTTTTTTTTTACATTTGATCATAGGCAAAAGGTTGAGGTGATTTTTTGGGGGGGGGGTCCCAGGGATTGAACTGAGGACCTTGCACTTGGGAAAATTATTTATTTGAGACGTCTTGCTATGTAGTCCAGGCTGGCCTTGAACTATTGTAGCCCAGCCTGGCATGGTGATCCTTCTGCCTCAGCCTCCCAACTGGTGGGATTACAGGCTTGTGCCAGCACACCCACCTGTTAATGATTTTTCCGTTATACTACAGCCAAATTACTTTGGAAATTGTTTCTGAAGGAAAACATTGATTTTCCCGATAGAGGAAATGTCTATGGGATGCTAATATTACTAAAAGACATCTGAAGAAGATAAAATCAGTTGTCCAGACCCATAAGGAGAAAATGAACTAAGAGAAAGCAAACTCCAAAAAACAAACAAGAAACAAAATAAAGAGAATTGTAAATGTGCAAACCATACTTAAGGCCAAGAAAAGGGCTGTACAAATTTGCTGGATCGCTCTTCTCTTCCCCTCCCCCTCCTCCATCCTTGGTGTTGGTGCTGGGAATCTAATCCAGGATGTGGCCCGCTAAGCATAAGCACAACACTACCACTGAGCTATGGTATATCTCTAGCCCTTCAATTTCTGTTAATCTGGTAAAGGAGCTTAAATTGCCCTCCTTCTAATATGAGAAACTGAAAGTGTAAATAAGGAACAAAATGTATAATAAATATTTGGAAAAGGGAAAAAATGTTCAAATGAGAAGGGGAACAAGAGAGGGGGAAGGGGAAACAAAGGAAGGGACAAGAGAAAAAAGAATAGAAAGAAGAAATGGAAACAAAGCTTTTGTAAATAAGGAGGGGAAAGGCGGGGGATTTAGCTCAGTGGTTCCCCTGCCTGCCTGGAAAGTGCAATATCCTGAGTTCGATCCCCGGTACCAAAAAAAACCAAAACCCAAACAAACAAAAAACAAGTAAGGAGGGGAGGAGGGGTTGAGGGGAGCGGAGGGGAATGGGAAAAAAAAGAAGCAAGATAAACCATGTACAGGTAGCGGGGCTTGGTGGACCATGCTTGTAATCCCAGCACTCAGGAGGAAGAGGCAGGAGGAGGGAGAGGCAGGAGGATTGCTGCGAGTTCGAGGCTAGCCTGGGCTACATAGTGAGTTTAGGGCCAGCCTGAACTGCAAAGCAAGACTCAAAACACCACAAAAAAAAAGAAAAAAGAAAAAAGAAAAGATATATCATGTACAGGTACAAATTCCCCACCATGCATGTTATCAATATGTAGATCTAAAATGTACCAATAAAAAAATTTTAAAAACTCAAAGTTGCCCCCCTTGCTTGTTTTAAGTTTTTCTTTTTTAGAAAGGTAGGTGAGGGGGGCACTTTTTTTTTTAGATAGGGTCTCGCTATGTAGCCCAGGCCGGCCTCGAGCTCACTGCGATCCTCCTGCCTCTGCCTCACGAATGCCGAGATTACAGGTGTGCACGTGCCCTCCGGGCCCATAATTTTGCACTCTGTTTCAGGACGACTGACTGCCTGAGGATTTCCTGCAAACTGCAGAGGACCTCAGGGCATAGCCTGTGGCTGTCACCTAACCTGCAGCCTGACCCCAACGCAGCTCCGTTATGGCCTTAGGGGACTGGCTCTGGGTCATAGTCCACCTCTCCGGCCCCAGGAGGTGGCCCCAGCCCCAGGCCACAGAAGGTTACTCCTGACTTTCAGCCCTAGCATTTCCCTGGAGGTTGCAAGTCAGGTAGAAGAGGACTCAAGAACGGTTGCGGAAGTGGCAGGAACGGCGGGGAGAGTGTGTGGGAAGTGAGGGGGGCAACGTGACAATATTGCTAACGGAATTGTTTCTCTCACTGGATGATTTTTGCGATGACCCACCCCCGTCCTAGAGCAGACTAGGAAACTGAGGCCGCCCCGCCAGGCGTTTGAGTCAGGTGGTCTCCTGCAGGCCCCGTCCAATCAATCCCGCAGCTCTCCCACCGTCTTCTGGCTCGGAAATGGCCACCACCTCCACTGCGGGACCACGCCCACCAGGCGAGGCCACGCCCCGGGGCGGTGCCCGAGTGCAGGCCAGAGCGATAGATCCTCGACCTTGCAGAGAGCAGACTGCTCACCGGGAGAGCTAGCTCAGAAAGGGAGAACTGGCGCCGCAGGCCGGGAGGAGGAGCGCCGAGCGGAGTGCTCGCTGGCGGGCCGCTGAGAGCGTCTTCTTTGCGGACGCTGGGGTCGCCATCTTAGATGGCGGGAGTTGGAGCGCAGCTAGCGTGAGGCGGGAAGGCTTCCCTACCGCTTTCCCCAGGTGCCCAGAGGGCCAGCTGGCCAGGGCTTGGGGCGCGTGCCCTGAGGCGCGCAGCACGAGGGCGATGATGCGGGACCCTCTCGGGGTCCCGTCCCCTGGGCTGGGGACGCGCCGCCTGTGACCGCCTCCCGCTCCCTCAGCGCTGCGGGAGCAGTGAGCGCTACGCCGCCGCCGCCACCGCCACTGGGACCGGACGGCCTGGCACTCACAGGTGGGCTCCGGAGCTGGATGGGGCCGGGCGGGGGCGTCGCGCCGGCGGGCCCTTGCCAACGGCGGGCTCGGTGGGTTCCCGTCTTGCAAGACCTGCAGCGAGCGTTCCCCGTGTGCGGTCGCGGACTGCGCCGCCGGCCTGCGTCTGCGTGGTCACCCGCGGCCGTCCTGCGGCGGGTCGGAGCCGGGCTGGGCGGCGCGGCCTCTCGGGCCTTGCTAGGCGACGCGGGGAGGAGACTGGAGTCGGGGAAGGGGGAGTGGCCCGGGCCCCTCGGGCTGCAGAGCTGTAGGTCACCGCGGAGGGGTTGGGGGTTTTGTGCTGAGCATCAACCTTCGGGCCCGGGGGTCGCTCGCCCGGCCTCTGGTGCTCCGACGAAATCCAGGCGGTCTTTGTGCGGCTCGGGCCCTGAAGCGAGGTGCACTCGTTGTTCCCTCAGGCCTGGGGAACGCTGGGCGGGGGCTGCGCTCCCAGGGCCCGGAGCACCGGGCAAGTAGACTGTGCGGGGGCGACCGGCCGCTCACTCCTTTGGCCCAGACCTGGCACTGCCGGCCTTGCGGGGAGCCTTCCGCTTCGAGGCGTTTGTGCTGTGCATTTTCTTGAGGTGTTGGAAAGGACGGCTCAGTGACCTCGGGGGAGGAATGGGAGGGTGTTCCAGCCTAGGGAGTCGCTGTACCCAGGCACGGAGGCGTGTGAGACAAGGGTGAGCTTGGGGAGCAGCAAGTGGGAGTGGGGAATGCTGAGACAGGAGAGTCTAAAAGAAAATCATTGGCAAATGATGAAGGGTCTGTGTTACAGGTATGGTGAACTAATTGACTTAATTTGGATTTGTTCTAAGTGAAAGTTGCTTATTTTTTGATATTACGGATAGCCGCTCCCCATGATGTTTAACCTGATGTTAATTAAAAAGGTGTACCATGTTAAACCTAGTTAAGAACATTTTTGAGCCGAGTGTGGTAGTCTACGCCTGTAATCCCCACCCTGTGGGAGGCTGAGGCAGGAAGATTGCAAGCCCCCAGCTTGGGCAATTTAGAGATTTAGTGAGATATCCTGCCTCAGAGGTTTTGTGTGTGTGTGTGTGTGTGTGTGTGTGTGTGTATTTTCAATCCTCAGTACCCCGCCCCCTTATTGTTTTATGTTCTGTCAAATGCTTTGTACTAAACAACGGTGAATGAACTGAACTCCTTTCTATGGATTCTTTATAAACATGTCGACTTCACAGAATGTTGACTTTTAAAACGTAGTGCCCTCTACTAATTCTAAATTTAAATGGATGTTGACAGTATATAAATTGTGTTCCTCAGGCATGTAGAATTTGACATTATGTAAAACAAACATCTAAAAAGTGTAGAATATAAGCAAGTATTTTTAATGTATTTTGTATAGAAAAGTCTTTCTTTGGTTGGATTCCCCAGATTTCTGGTCTATTAGAAGATCTCAAAATCTATGAACAAAGTTTTCCTAAAATAGCTATTGTGATTAGTGCTTATTATGATGTTAAAAGGTTTCTGCTGGCCATTCTTAAGTCTTCTGGCAATTCCTAAATCTTCTTTGAGTTGTGATGATTGTATACTCCTGAAGAAGATTGAGATTCTTTTCATGTGTTCTTACCCTTGTCACTTGAAGGGCTAAACTGTTTAAAATCCAACCAAAATATTTGACCCTGTTGAACACTGGGTACTTGGAAAAATAAACCTGTTACTGTTCTCGTCTAAAAGCTTATCTTTTAGGTATGTGGGTTTGTGATTATAAACTGAGTGGGATTAGTTTTTGATAAAGTCTTGTCAGTAGTTGAAAAAAATGTTTTCCTTTGAAGTAGATGACTGAAATATATTTGAACATATTTTAAGAGATTCGGTTTAGCAGGAAAAAACAAGCAAATTAAGCTGATCATTTATGACAAAAAGTGTCTAAAAATTAAGTGAATAGTTAAATATCAAGTATCAAAGTTGCTCTGAAACTAGTTACTTTTAGCTTAAACCATACCAGTTTTTTGCTCTGAAGATTAATCAGCAGCTTCATACTTTTTGGAAGTTAAAAGCTTGACTTTTGCAGAAGCATTACATTTATTTTTGAAATGGAAATCAGTAACTTAAGAGTACTCTTTCAAAATTTACTAGTAAATTATGATTCTTTTATATTTAAATTTCAGATAAAATTTTATTAGTAATGTACTGCCCACAAATAGAAAAATGTTACAGGCGGGAATACTGCTGTTTTCATGTGAGGAATATAATAGGCCACAGTGATAATCCTGATTTTGGGAGGAGCTGGCTGCCAGGTCACTTGTTTTCATGTTGACTTGCAGGAGGGTTTAGATGCTGCCTTTGAGAGGTGGGAAATGCTGTGTTAGTGAGGGTTTATAGAGCCACAAAATCAAGTTTTTACTTGAATTTTTTTATTTAAGTTGTGCAAATCGTGGAAGTCATTTTTCAAAACATGACTCTGGAAAATTGCTCACCTTTACTACATTAACTGGAGAATCAGGAACACTGAGTTCTTTTAGGGTGACGTTTAGGTGTATTAATGTTTGGTATGCTAAGGGATGGGTAAGATTCCCAGTTGCTCATCTAACTGGTTTTTAAGTGTGATACTAGATATCGGTGTCAACTCAGTGCACTGGACTAAATTGTTTTGTCTCTGAGCCTCATGACAGTAATGGCCAGGTATTTTATTTTTGCCTTAAACACTGTGAGTAAAAACTCCTTAATTACATTTTTTTGGGGGGTATCCAGGACTGAACTCAGGACCTTGCACTTGCGAGGCAGGCTCATTGCCACTGAGCTAAATCCCTGGCCCTTACCTTAATTAAATATTAAAGTTATCAACCTTTAATTTTATGGTGTTTGAATCATTCTATTAATCTGTTAGTGGTTAATTTCAGAGATGTTTGTCTTCTGTAGAGTTACTCCTAATATCTCAGTTTAACCAAGGAAAATGTCAACTGGGTATTTCTTTGTTACTAGTTTTGACTTAGGTTATATGAAGTTTCTTTGACAAATTACAAAGTGTGTCAATTAGTATCACATTCCAATCAGTGTATATAGTATTTTTTGAGGCACACTTGTCACAGTTTTATTTTTTTAGACCAGGTTCTAGAGGATTTTACTGGGTAGAGAATAATTCTACAGCTATTTTAAAATTTAAAAATTCTTGTGATTTAGAGGTTGTTTACATTTCCGGTTAATGAATTGAACAGCTAGCAAATGACAGTGTTATTTTTGCTTGTTTCTTGTTTTTGCTTTTGTTGTTGTTTTGTTTTTTAAGTCAGGATCTGACTATGTAGCCCAAGCTGGCCTTGAACTCATGATGATCCTTCTGCCTCAACCTCCTGAGTGCTGGGATTATAGGCATGCACTACCATGCCTGGGAACAGTCAGTGTTTGTTTGTTTTTTGGTACTGGGAATAGAACTGAGGTCCTTGCACTTGCGCGGAGCAGGCAGCGAAACCACTGAGCTAAATCCCCGGCCCAGCAGTCAGTGTTTTAAAGGAACCTGCTCTGTTATGTGTAATTTCTTTTGAGGACCTCCATGGTCTGTAGAGTACCATTTCCTTTTTCTTTCTACCCGTTGAACTTAACTGTTGTCCAGTAGCAAGAGTTAAATACACCTTTCCTTTACTGTTTTAGTCAAGATGTTCTCTCTTTATTTTCCTCCCACCTGCTGTGGAAAGTAAAAGTTCTGATTTTCTTTTGAAGTTACATAATTAAGCATCACATTTGGAAGAAGTACTTCCCTATCTTCATTCCAGTAGATTTCTGAGGGAAGAGTCATTGGTATTTTCTTTTCTTTTTCTTTTTTTTGGTACCGGGGATTGAACTTGGGTCTTTGCGCTTGTGCAGCAGGCGGCGAAACCACTGAGCTAAATCCCTGGCCCTATTGGTATTTTCTTAAAGTGCAGATTCCTATAAGTTATATTTAATTTTTTGAATAGGTAAAATAGTTGACATGCCACAGAATTCAAAGGATATGGAAAGTTTTGTTATGCAGAGTACTTCTGCCTTCTCCTTTGTTCTGGTACCCAGCTTTCTTTCTTGGAGAGGATTTTAATGTGCCCTGATTTGATGACTGGAGTATGTCAAGTGTGGATGTAGTGGCTTTTCTTCCTTAAATCTTCCAGAAGTGGCATCACCTGTCAGACTGTACAGTTCTTGCCTCTCTGTCATGCTTATATGGCTTCCTCAGAACTATATTTAGTGTAATTCAAAGCTGTTTCTTTAAAGCATCTACTACTAGGCGCAACCTACTGTGATTGGTGCAGGGTACAAGTTCCTGCCTTCAAGAACCTCATCTAAAGGAGAGAGGCTGACAGATTTCCTCACTTTCATCTGTTCCTCTTTTAAGAACATTTCAAAACTATCTTCTGAAAATCATTTCCTGATCTTTTGCTGTCCTTTCCAATCATTACTATTATTTCCCATCCTTGAGCTCCTAGAACTCTGCATGCGTAGTCATTTGTGAGCTTATCCTGTTAGATGATAAACTCAAGGTTTTCTTCTTGATATTTATTTATTCACTGATATTTATGAAGAGAATCTCCATTTGAGAGTCTGAGGGACCAGGTCTCTGTGCTTCAGTGAAAGTGCACAATCAAAATTCAGCACTTAATATTAGGTTTTATAAGGCCTTTTTGTTTTATTTTGAGCCAGGGTCTCGCTGTATATTTCAGTGGGCCTTGAACTCTGTGTAGCCCAGGTTGGCCTCAACTCATGGTAATCCTCCTTCCTTGACCTCCCTGGTATTGGGATTACAGCCGTGCAGCACCATGCCTGACCAGACCTTTTATTTAAGTTCAAATGGTGTGTGCAAATACTTTTGGTATATTTTGGCACTGTATATAGAAAATTCTGGATAATATGTCCACAGGATGTTGGCAAGCACTATCTATAGGTTATTTTAGTGTTTTTATTTTTACATATTTTTGAACTTTTTCTCTTCCCAAGTGAACATGCATTCTATACAGTGATACCTCAGTTCATGAACTTGATTCTTTACACGATTCT